GAAAGCCTAAAAGGTAAATTCAGTTTAATTCTTTTTGTCAACAAGTTGATGATTAGATGCTGTTAAACATAACAGAGAAAATTATCCGAGAAAATGCTTTTGACCAAAAGAAAAAGAAACCCTGGTTAAATCTAACCCTGGGTTAAGCGCTAATCGGCCTTCGAACAACTGGGCCCAGGTGTATAAATGGGTACCAGTGACATACTGCTGGGGGGTAACCCTGCGATGGACTAGCATCCCGTCCAGGGAGGAGTAGCAATACTCCTAGGTGCTTTATGCTAATGAAACCAGGATAAGCTTTGGCCATGTGGGCCTTTGGCTCGGGTGTGCTTTGACCTTTTAACTGAATAAGGGAAAGGAACCCTGAGTAGTGTCTCTTAGGTTATGTTCACACTAAATGCACCAAGTAGCTTTTGTGCTGGCTTGAAAACTTCACCAGACAGGGCTACTTTTCACACATAAGAACAATCAGAGACTTTGACGTGATTTCTGCGATGGAGAGAAGCTGTGCTGCTCCAATCTTGAGATGTGTGGACAACTTGTTCCAGTTCTGTGCAGTTGCTGGCCTTAGTCATTTTGACTGAGAGATTTCTTAGGTTGAGTTTTGTGCACACCTCAACAAAGCTGAAGACCCAGCAAAATTCAGCAACCTTTCTGACAAAATAGTTCATTGACATTCATTGTTTTCACTGAACACCGATAGCAAGCACAAAAGGTCAGCTGATTTGAACCGACAAGAAAAAAGACCTTAAGTAAAGGAATTAAATGTCCTCTGAAGGCATTGCACGTACATGGTATAGTCGTGTGACATGAATGTATGGAAGGAAATTTCTGGCGGCAGTGACCTGTAGGCCCATGTGTAAAAACTATGAAGATAAAGATATCTTTATCGGCTTGTAAAATGGTGGCAGAGAAAAAACGGATAAAATGGTACCTTAACTGATGCGCCAAGACGACGATTTAAAAGAAGCCAGCAACTTTTACATCGTCTCAAATCACGAAAGCAGATCGCCATGACTTTTCTTCACTTGTGTCAAGGTAGAGGGGAAACTGGGACAAACGAAACTATGTACGTCATGTAACGTGAATCAAACTGTACTGCAGACCTAACGACCGATCGTTTAGGAAATTTTAATATACACGGGGAAATGCTCTTTTGGAATGCTGAAAGTATTTGAAGTGCCTTAACGCAAGAGGGACATGGGGAAGGAGTTAAGGGGGCAGGGGGGTGTTCTGCTAAGGTCTAGGACCCCTAGGCCCATCCCACACCAAAAGTGAAGGGAGTTTTCATTCACTATTTCATTTCTTGACATGTTAAATTAACCTTGTTTAGGTAAGTGGCAAGATATCAATGTTACATTAATAATAGTGAGAAGTAACACCTCATTCATTGACCAAGTAAAAAATGGAACCCCATGACACGCATGTGGCTTGGCAGCTTTTCACAAGCATCATAAAAGGCAGTACCCCTTTCTCTCCTCTCTCCAGCTCGGGTAGGTCTCTTTATATCACTAGTGTGGTTCTTTGGGTGGATTTAAAACAATAATACAATTCATCATCAATTCAGGGGCGTTTGATTTGATCAGGTTCAAATTACAGGTCATTGACCTTAACACTTTTTCTACCATGCAAAACTAAAAGAGGAACTAGTGGAGCTTGGGTTAGCTAAGGGAAAACCAGGTCAAAAAAGGAAAACGGGAAAAACCTGACTAAGGACATCTCACCCGAAGATTTGTTTCTAACATTTCATTTACATCAAACCTGAACAGCTGCGTCTTTTACAAATTATATATTAAGTCAAACATTATTCTTGAGTTCGTCAAGACAGGATGCCTCATTCACACTTACAAAATGACTGACAAATTGAGTGGACCTAATTCTTTTATTAAATAAACTTAATACAGCTTCAAAAACAGCCACTAAATGGCTAGCAACAATATTGGATTTCTTTCATTCTTCCTCTGCCTCTAAATTTATGTTATTACCAAACTTGGCATAAAGTTTCACTTTCAAATCTCCTAAAAGAGCCTTGACTTCTCCAGACTGTGACTCTAGAGATTTGACTTCTTCCTGTAACTTGGATTTTGCATTCTCCAGGTACTCCTGAGTTTCCTCTGAAGACAGGTGAATGAACACCTCCCCTATTCTATAAGTAAGGAGTGTTAAGAAAGCAAACAACTTTTCTGCAAAATTAAATCAGACAAAGTTTTCTGGTAGCCTGCAAAGCTGGCAGGGTTTTGCTGCTAACAAAAATCCTTCACAGCTCCGCCCCAAAAAGTACATGTACCCTGCATGTAACAATCCTGCCAGCTATGTAGGATTGTTTCCTGGTAGACTTTAAAACTCCATGCAAAAAGGTCCCCTCAAAAAAGGAAATGGGTTGGCCAGGGGGAGGTTTGGTAAAATTGGAGCCCTAATAGGCTAAAATTTTAATTCAAGCTGTAAGAGACTAAAATAGTCTTGGTCATTGTACTTTTCTATGACTTTTGACAAATACAAGTCTTAAACTGTGAACTAGTATTGGAGAAATGCCTTTCACCGATAGCATTCTCTGACACTATATACAACAAATAGATCATTCTAGAGAATTATAAGTAACACCTACAAATAACGAAATGAGACAAACTAAAAAAAGTGGACATCTGGTTTTCAAGTCTACTAGTCCATGTTCTTTTTCAGCTTTCCTGTATTTTTGCATTCCTTTACTGTTTTAAGCTGCTCGTTATTGTGATTTGTTAAATTTCAGTCACAAGTGTGTTTGGTAGTAGCCAAAATTACCCTTAAAAGAAGCATGACCTTAGCCTGATTCAGAAGCAATGTCTGCTATAATGCAGAATAAAACTGTAAGAGTCCACATGTTTCCTTTTCTCTGACAACATTTGCGACTAACCTACCCAAAAGAGGTCTTGCAATACCAGTCTTATTACTATTAGCCAGTGCAAGGAACGAGTAAAAGAACAGCCCCGTGAGCCCCCTGCCTTGTACTCACCTTTATCCTTAGGCAACTAGGAAATCTAAGGTTTTGCATAAAACTCATTAAACTGAGGACCCTAAATTTTCCAGCTGGGTTCAGAGCTTTGGGCTCCCTACAATTTTTCTAAGAGCACAGCCTTCTTTGAAAACGTACCCAAGGGCGGCACAGTGGTTGATGTTAATGGCGTAGATAGGGTAAGTGTAATATAGATACCTTATTGGCACTTAATTTCGCAATTTTGATGAGAGGGTTTTTCACAGGATTTTAATTATATTTTTAGATGAACTGGCACAAGAAATGTGTGAAATCTTTGCAAGCTAACGTTATTTCAAAACTGAAGATACAAATATGAGCTTACCAGTAAAACTAGTAAGCAATTTGTGTTTGTTGATATATTCTGTATATGTTGTTGCAATATTACAAGTTAGTTCTGTTTTTTTTTTTTTTCAATTGTAAAGAAAAAAACACACAAAAAATTAAAGACCCGCATAAGGTAGATAATGAGCTTTGGTTTTTCAGTGTGTTGTATGATCAGGGGAAATGCACAATCAAAAAAGGTGGGAACAAAACTTGGACTGGATCACCCGATTTAAATACTTATGAGACAAAAGTTCCCATTGTTTTCCCCATGTGTAAAGTGAATGAGTTGATCCGGTCTGAGTTTTGTACATACTTGAGTCAAAACCTTGCTTGATGAGAGTACTCTTACTTGCCCTTTATGGCAGAAGTGAGGGTCAGATGATGAGTACTCGCGATGGCTCAAAGCTTAGGTACCACAGAATGCACAGGCGAGCATTGTATTTTTTAAAAAAGAAAATAAGGATATGGTATTGGTGCTGTGTCGTCCTCTAACATCAAAAGCTCATCACCAGCATCCTCAAGATTCTGAAGTTCTTTCTGCAGAGACAGAAGCAAAAATATAGTAATATAAGCTTAATTAAATTTAATATCGCTGGTTTGCATGTGATGCCACAGGGGCCATGTTGGCGGTCAAGAACAAAAGCACTTCTCTCCCCTGGGAACTAAACTCCATTTTGATGTACATTTTTCGAGTAAAATTTCTATTGTATTGACCCCCCAACATGGTCGCCTTGTCACGTGGTTGCAAACCAAGAATAGCTCAGTGAGGCTCTTTTAGGAAGGTTGCAAAAAGTGAAAATCATTATCTTAAACCACGGAGCATTACTCCAGAGCTTCCAAGAAATGCTGCCCCTTTTTTATGCTGCGCCTTCTTGCATACCTTTTTCGCGTCTATTTCGTCCTGAAGTTCTTGCATTCTTGCAGTTTTTCGTGCGAACGTGTTTATCTGTTGTTGATCTTCGAATGTGATATTTGTGTCCTCTCCTCCAATCTGTAAGGAATTAATGCAGTCTAACATTATACTGACTCATTTATTTGAAAGTAAACCACAAAGCACAAAGAGTTGTAGCGCTGCTAAACATTACAATCCAAAAAACCCTTTGTAGGTTTTAAAATTCTACCTTTGGCTTGGAGGTCGCCATTTTGAATTTGAAGGCTTAGTGACCGCGCTACTTTAAGAGCGCGACTTCGTTGCTTGGACGCCAAAAGTATGCTAATTTTATTCATAAACTCTACAAATTATTGTCAACAACACGCTCATTAGATGTCTTTATCATAATTTATTGATATCGAATCAAAGAACTCGATAGCGGTCTTTTAATTTATGGGATAACTGCTGCTTTCATTCCTTCCCTGCGGCGCGTATTCTCTTTGGAACTTCGGAATGTGTGAGGCCATGTACGATCAAGTCTTCGAACGCTGTGGTGAAAAATTTTCATGATGCTTTACTTCATTGCAATTTGCTCAGGAATTTGGAACAAATTAACTTAAATCTGTCCTTGTTGCTATGGAAGGACGCATGCTAAAGAATGGGTAAGCTGCCATCATGTTTTGATTTTAAAATGAAATCAAAAAGTAAATCAAAATACACTGAGTAATGTTTTGATGATGTTTGTCCGGCCTTTTGATCAACTCTAGGTCGTTTAGTTATTTGTTAATGACTAGTTAACAAATTAAAGCTTGTTGTTTTAGGCATAACAGGTGATCATAAAATTATTGCTTATCACAAGATAAGCCCTACGACCCCACACAATACTGAGCCAGACTGAACTGTGCCTAGAAATCGAACATTAATAGTTCCATGAGCTTTTCAATAAGTTTACTGCACTCATGAAGAGCAGAATTATGCGGAAATAGGGTTTAAAAACCTTTTCAGTTCATGCAGGCCATGCGGGTATTCTTTTGTAAGTTACTTTATATCTTACATACAATAGCCCAATTATTTTGTCTGCTTAGTTAAACTGATTGAGAATAATAAAACTTAAATAAAATACCGGTACATACCGTTGTAAAAACCAGCTGGAAATGGACATAAGCTTATGATATCTATTATAATGACTTCTGCATAATGTATTTTTTCCTTATAATATTTTGTTTCCCCTCTTCATAATTGAAGATGATTACAGCATAGCTCAACTTTACAGAAGAATAATCTCACCTTCTGTTAAAAATGAAGAATGGCAGAAACAGACACATGTTCGCCATCAATACCTCAAGAGTCAATCACCAGTCAGCCGACTCAAAGTGGCCAGTCCAACACACAGCATCATGTCTGCCCCTGGTCTCTTAGAAACTGACATGGCCCTTCAGGTACGCATGCACGGGTGCCGTATTTAATAAGGTGTTCCAGAATACAAAAACATTGCTGAAATTTTCCCCTCACTCCATTGCCTAGAAGACAAGATCTCTTACCACCACCCTTCCTGTGAAGATTTCAGATCTTTAGACCATTTCCTGGGCTAGATCCTACAGTAAATAGGATGCTAATTCATTTGTCCCTCCGCTCTCCACCCCATTTCCTAGATGTTTGGTATATACCCCTCATATTTTCCCATTGATCGCTTTATTTATCATTGTGGTCATCTTTTTTCTTACAATACATCCATAGTTGTCATTGCCATTTATATTATCGCCTTTGTCATCAGCTCCAGCAATGTAATCATCACTATCACCATTACCATCACCACTGTCATCATTATCACCATCGTCCTTATCCTCCTCCTCCTTCTCCTCCTCCTCCTCTTCATCATCATAATAATCATCTTCATCATTATCATCATCATCACCTTTCAACTTCTGCAATTACCTCCACCAATTCTGGGTTTATAACCTAATAATGCATTTACCTTCTAGCCTATAAATGAAACAAGCTCAGCTGTCACTGAAAAATCAACAACAAGGAGTGAATATGCAGGATATAATTTTCAGTAAGTTTGACAGCCATTTTAATCTTCATCTTACATGTATCATTATTTTGAACAGTTTTTGTTATCTTTTAATTGATCAATGTATTATTATTACCATTCTGACATTCATTGATACTTGTTACTCTGTGTTTTGTAAATTTAGCTTTTGCTTTCTCTGATTATTTCTTCTCTCAGACCAACCGTAAAGTTCAAAACAACATCTCTCCCTGCCATGTCGCTGAGCAGAAAGTATTCACCATCTCCCACAGGAACAACAAGAACAGTTCCCATTTCCTTCAGCCACAACATGGTAATACCACTCGTGGGTAGGGGTGTAAGGAGGTCGAAAAACTGCAAAACCACTCAAAAAAGGATGGAAAAAAAAGAAAATCATACCATATCAAAATTTGCCAAAGTAGTATCAAGGACACTGTTATGCCCCCGCCCCCTTCCATTAGTAATAAGCAAGTAAATTGTCTCATGCTAGAATTTAAAGTGAGAGCAAAACTTGTTTCATTTTCCTTGTTACTACAACTATAAGGAATACACGAGCGTTTCTTTGGTGGAAAAGATTATCATGAGTAAAACTTGTTTCTCCTCTGCTCCATCACTTTTGAATGCCTGCCATGTCGGCTTACTAAAGCCTTAAGGATAATAATAGTGGCCACCATCTCTTTGACCTTCCTTTCACTGTAACAGTCATGTTTCTAAAAGTATGTAACTTCGAAAAGTAACTCCTAAAAGTAACTTCGAAGAAAACTGCATTTACATGTAAACCAAGGCTTTTTTTCTTCAGAAAAACTTTACGTCAGTCTCGTCTCACTCACCTGGTGTAAACTGTTACAGAAAAGCAGAGTTTTTATATTTTAAGTCTCCCCTTTATGTGAATTTTGTTATTTTAGGGAGTACCATCAAGATATTGGACAAATGAGAAGTAAGTAAAACCTAAAGTTGTTAAATGTAACTATTAATGTTTTTAGACATGCTTGTTCTCTGTTGACCTTACTTTGATAGCCTGTTCCAGGCTCTCAGGTGGTGGGGAAGACGCGAAAGAAAAAGGCACGCGAATTCCTCCCGTTTTATTTTCGTGTTTGCGCTTTCTCAATTCAGCGGACCAGACTATCTCGGAGCCTGGAGATCATTATTTTGAATACCTTGGTCTATTAGTTTTACTTTAGAGCGGTTTTCTTATGTCCTTGAAATGAAAACGCATGAACGCAACAGAACAAGAAAAGAACGGGAAATAGAGCGATTTGATTGGTTTATCGAGCGTATACACGCGTGGCTTTTGGTTGGTTAAGCGAACGCTCGCGTGAAAAAACTTCATGTCCGAGAACCTTCAGAAATCAACCGATACTCTTTGACGTCACACTACAACACAATTGGCCAGTCGAACAATGCCTTCTCCATATTAAGGTTTTCTTTGGCGGGAAAAGGAAGAGTCCCTGTTTTGGTCTTTTCATCCATTGGCTGATAAAACAAATAACGAACACTTACCGAAATCATTTTCAAGGTCATACGAAAATCGAAAACTCTAGCTGGTTAACTTTACAGAATAAGTACCAATTTTGCATCTGTAGGAAAGCTGGTTAAGATCAGCACTAATCATTTGATGTTAATCTAATCCACATTCTTTCATTAAAATTACCAGTCCTAGAATATTGTACAGTAGACAAAGAGACAGATTGAAGGCCGAAGAACAAGCAAAGGAACAGTGTAGAAGAATGAAAAGGACGTCTGAGGTTGGTAAAACCTGTCAATACAAATAAAGGCAAAAAGAAACTGTTCTGAAATACTTGACTTTTGGTTAGGTTTATGAATAGGCATTATGAAACGCTTACCACATTTTTAATTGTACAATCAAACCTCCACTAGCAGCCATGGCCACCTCTTTACGACGGCCACTCTTTTGGCGAACAGTCCATACACTGACTCTTGTTTGAACCCCTCTACAACGGCCACCTCTCTACAACGGCTCCCTTTTTTTGCGGACATTCCATACATTGACTCCTGTTTAAAACCATCTATAACGGTCACCTCTCTACGGCCACTTTCTTCTGTCCCCAAGGTGGCCTTTGAGAGGAAGTTTAACTGTATACTGTTTGGACCAAGATGGGTTTTTGATCATCAGAACAAATAGTAACTTTACAGCGGCCGGGGAGATGCAACTGGAAAGACAAGGCTTCCAAAGGCTAGGTTTTTATGACTCTCGCGCATGTATCGTCGATAAATCGCAAAAAATAACTATGCAGTCGCCTTACTTTACACTTATGATTTAAAATCAAGCCTAAAAATCACAGCCAAAAATCGCACGAAAACGGGCCTCTACGAATGCGATTTACGAGAAGTGCCACAAGACAATCTCCTGAGTGAGTAAAAATGAAACCTTATAGCAGTTCTTTATTGCGGTCAGTAGTAAAATTAAACTAAGTCGCTGGACGAAAAACTTTTTTTATTAGCCTGACCTGCGCGGGAAAAATCAAACGAAACAAAACAAAACAAACTAAAGTAAAAGAAGAAAAACTATTTTCTCCTTTCCCCACCCGGTTTCCCCTTTGCACTTGCGGTCAATAAATCCCTCCCGGCTTATATTTTCATACGCTCGCTCAAAGATCCGTAAAGAGAAAATAGAGGGTCTGTGAACAGGCTCCAGGCTTTATTTTTTTAGGTTACTATCGCTATTGATAATGGCTTATCATTTCAAAATGTTAAAAACTCATAATGTGTGCATTGCTGTTTCTAGATTCTTAGCCACAGGATTGACAAGCAGTACTACATGGCAGGAACAAAAATACCGTTACAAGGAAGGTTGGTTTACAGCTTTTACTGAATAATACCGTTAACTGTTTCTTCTAAACTCAGAGCGTGTTTGTCTACAAGGTTAAGATATTTAAATTTTGCCTTCCTAAACAATGACAATGGTATAGTACCAAATCCTCTGCTAAATGATAGAGAAGTTCCAGAAGGTGGCAAAGGATTGCAAGATGGAAATGGACTACAGCTTGAGAAAAATTTTTGAGTGGGGCAGGAGAGGGGCGCGGGAGTCCGGTAGAATAGGGGATGGGATGGGGTAAAGAGAGGAGAGAGGGGGACTTGGAGTTCTAAAAGGGCGGGAAGTTAGAAAAATAGGGAGAATGAAAGCCGTTTCAAAGTCGTTCCACAGTCGAAACTTCCCGGCCCAGCTAGGTGTGAAGAACGGCTGAGCCGTTCCAAATTGAAATAGGCGTTTCTAATTGATTCAGACGCCGAACTTTTCATGTACTTAATTCACCGAGTGGGCCTCATTAGGCAGATTAAGCTAAGACAACGCAATGTCCAATAAGAACGCAAAGGGCCGCAAAAAGGACTGAACACGACTTCGGGTGCTTTATTTGCCGCTCTGCCAAATGAATTTTTAAAAGTTATGTTCCATTTGTCCGACCACCGACTCTCACGCATTCCCGAAAAAAAAAATAGAAAAGGCTTGTTATCTTCACTGCGTCGTCGCGTAGTCTTTGCTAAATCTTCCTACTGGATCCTGTGCGCCCTTAACCATTAACTGTATCTTAGCAATTTGTTTCAGTATCTACAATTTGTAATTTGATTGGTAGGTATGATGTAGACAACACAGACCTGTTGCAGCTGAGGCTTCTTTCACAACAAAAGCAATTGTCGGATTTCAAGGCTGCCAAAGACACAAAGTAAGTGATTTTCTTTTTCTTTTTTGTCTTTTTTGTTTTTGTTTGTTTTTACATTTTTCAACGTAAGAATGTCATCATTCGAATGGACTATTTTAGGGTCTGTTTATACCAGCAATAATTCACTTACGGTACACCGCTTCCGACACTCGCTTTCGATACGAAAAGCATAATTGTTCGGTATTGCACTTGTCGCCTGTTCCTTGTATCCAAACCCTAGTTTTCGTACTCACTGTATTTCTAGCCTGCGTAATAGGCCCTTGGAAGTAACGGGCACAAGAGAAGAACGCTGCGCGCGTAGGGTGATGAAAGGAAAGAAAGAACGGTGTGCGTGACATATCAAGCAGCGACTGCCAAGCAATTGGATAGGGGGTGGTAACGATTTTCTTCGGCCTCTCGGGCAGGCGCTCCATCTCCCCTCGCTTGTCTTCCGTTGCGAGCCCCGTTCTTTCCCGCATAATCCAAGCGCCTGCTACCATTTGCTACGCACCCTATTCTCTTTCGGCTCATTGGCTAAGAGCCGGCCTACAGTTAACAGTGCCATTGAAAATCTATAAAACTTAAAAAAGTTTTAAAAGTTTTAAAAGTTTTGTGACACGTTCAAGTCTAAAGGGAAACCGGTCGTTTCGATACGAACTGAAGCTTTGAAACTGCTCAAGAAATTTGGTTCACTTAAAGTATCTAGCGCAACTTGGACTACTGACAAAATGATAGCACTGGAGGTCATTGCTTTTACAAATGTGGTGGCTCCTAAAAGAGCCGTTTGATTTGTTGAGATGCTATCCGCTTATGCTCGCTCTCCACGGATTCGTCGGGCCAACTGAATGTCCTTGGGCATGATGGTGACGCGCTTAGCGTGGATAGCGCACAGGTTGGTGTCTTCAAACAGACCAACAAGGTAAGCTTCGCTAGCCTCTTGAAGAGCCATCACAGCAGAGCTCTGGAAACGCAGATCGGTCTTGAAGTCCTGAGCGATTTCTCGCACAAGACGCTGGAAGGGCAGCTTGCGGATCAACAGCTCGGTAGATTTCTGATAGCGACGGATCTCACGAAGAGCGACCGTACCAGGCCTGTAACGATGTGGTTTCTTAACGCCACCCGTGGCAGGAGCACTCTAACGAGCTGCCTTTGTGGCGAGCTGTTTGCGTGGCGCTTTTCCACCGGTTGATTTACGAGCAGTTTGCTTTGTACGAGCCATGTTTTTCGTTTCAAGAGGATCGTTGAGGATAAAATGATCAATAAATTAGTTTATTCCACTATAATTTTAGAATTTTATACATGACGGGCTACATTCTGATTGGTCGAAAAATATCTTTTTCTGATTGGCGAAGAAAATCCTTTGTAATATTTTGAAGAAAGTATCAACGGTTCATGCCGACGGAGTTGGATCCCAACAAACTTTACGCTATCTCGAGTCGTTTTTCCAAGACGTTTCGCATTAGAAAATACATATAACCATCGCAAAAGTAATAAGTAATTGGTGTACTTTAAACACCTTCTCTTTTTGACTAAATGAATTACACTTCTATGAATATTGTGCCATGAACATGCAAAGCTCTCTTTGTAGAACTGATTATGCGCATATATTACATCTGTGTGTGTATAATTGCTCTTTGGACTTGGTTTACTTTTGTTTTAATCTGACTAATAAAAATATTACTAAGTTTTCGGAGAGGTCCACTTTTTTGGTATATAAGCCAGGCAGAACACCTTTTTGGAAATCATTTTAGTTAGAGAGCTACAACATGTCCGGTCGCGGTAAAGGAGGCAAAGGTCTAGGAAAAGGAGGCGCCAAGCGTCACCGAAAAATCCTTCGTGATAACATCCAAGGCATCACCAAGCCAGCCATCCGTCGTCTTGCTCGTCGTGGCGGTGTCAAGCGAATCTCTGGACTGATCTACGAAGAAACCCGAGGTGTTCTCAAAGTTTTCCTTGAGAACGTGATCCGTGATGCCGTGACGTACACCGAGCACGCAAAGAGAAAGACCGTGACAGCCATGGATGTAGTATACGCTCTTAAACGCCAGGGACGTACTCTGTACGGATTTGGTGGCTAGATTCCACCGTCTACACAAACCAACGGCTCCTTTAGGAGCCACCATATCCTATGAAAGTCATAACCAATTCTCCAGTACAGTACTTAACTCTTTCTTCCTACACTGCTTGAATTCGTATTGAAAGGACGGGTTTCCGTAGCGCTTCTACGGTACATGTGGACGGGAAAACTATTTGAAGTAACCGCCAACGGCCTCTCCTACTATTTGACACACCAAAACATAAGACTTTTTCGACGCGAAAGGAATCAAAGTCATGAAGCTGGTATTGAGCAAAATTTCAGCAAAGTTTTGAAAACTGTTTCAAATTTCAGCCCTGGTTGCGCACGCTTGTGCAATCCGATGTTAATGACTCAAAAGTGATTTTAATGTCTTTTACTTTACAATGTCTCGGAAATCTTACTTCATTTCGTCACGGGTTTACTGTATATACTAAGAACTAACGGCCTCCGCGCGTATCGATTATGTTGGTCGTTCATGGGTGACTCGTCACCAAAGAACAAGTAGTAGGAACGCATCGGCCAGAGAGCTCGCACACCAAATCAGTTAATACAAAGCTCCATGAAAGATACAGTGTTCAATCCTAGAAATAAAAATGCAGCCTAATGATAACTTGTTCCTTTCGTAATCCGTACTTTAAGTCATGTGCCGCGTTCTAGTAAGCGTAATTGATCTCTGGAACGTTTGCTGACATTAATGTCTGTCAACTTCTTAGAAACCAGTTGCGTTTATTGTGCCTTGTGGTACTTTTCGGTACAAAGCGATATCTTTGCGCAAAGGTTTTATTCAAAGTCAAAATGGTGGGAAATAAAGCGCCGAGCGAAGCATAATTATGTTAGCTTTATTTTGTGCTAATTAGTTTTTATGCCGCTCATTCGAATTTATTCGCATCTTTTACTAGAATGTAATCTAAGTAGAGACACTTCAATCTTTCCAAAATAAGAGTAAGGTACCTCAGTCGAGCGACTCGACTTGTTCTCTTGTATTTGTCTACAGAAATCGTAGGGCTAATTAATCTATTTGCAAGGTATATGGAAGGCAGAGATAGAGCAAGAAAGCAATAGGCGACAAAACCGTTTGTAGTAACCACTAAACGCCACCACAGTTTGATTCACTGAATGTTAAGTCGTCTGTTACAAACCACTTCAGTGAGTAACTAGGGGGTTGGTTGGTTGGCTACTTATGTATGGATGGCTGCGCACGTTTGTTAAAAAATTACCTTTGCAATACTCTTCATGCTAACTCATGTGGTCTACTTAACATCGCATGAAAACTAAAGTTTACCGGGATAGCATCTCATTATCGGCAACTATTAAAACAAGTACTTCGTGTTCAACGTTAAAACTGCACTCATTTAGATGCGGTTAAATTTTGCGCTCCATTCAAAAGTGTTCTTAAAATTTACATGTCAATAGTTATGTTGGCTTTCGAATGGTATAATCGAATTGACGCAGGATACGCTCGAGAAAGCGCGTACGCTATGACAGTTAGTAGAGATGAAGCTTAAAGAATACTCTGGAGTGCATAACTCACTGAAACCGGATGTAAATTATCTTATCTTAGTGCACGTTTAGAAATAAAAGCGTTATTTGGAAAGATAAATTTACCGAGAAAGTTTATCTTTCCGCGTTGTTTTAACTACTTGCAGTACTCTTTGGTAGTTGAGACTTTAAAGCGAGTTATTGGTCATGACTTTTATAGCATTTGGTGGCTCCTAAAGGAGCCGTTTGTGTAAATGAAAGCTGGATTAAGCTTTCTGTTTCTTCTCGGTTTTCTTGGGAAGAAGTACAGCCTGGATATTGGGAAGAACACCACCTTGCGCGATAGTGACACCGGCGAGCAGTTTGTTCAACTCTTCGTCATTTCGGACGGCCAGCTGAAGGTGACGGGGAATGATTCTTGTCTTTTTGTTGTCACGAGCAGCGTTTCCAGCCAACTCAAGGATCTCAGCGCTCAAATACTCAAGCACAGCAGCCAAGTACACTGGGGCACCAGCACCAACACGCTCAGCATAGTTGCCTTTCCGAAGAAGACGGTGGATACGACCCACAGGGAATTGAAGCCCTGCTCGGGATGATCGGCTCTTGGACTTGGTGCCCTTTGCCTTTCCTTTACCGCGACCAGACATGTTTTCAAAGTTAACAGAAACCTTCTAGTGAAGTGAAAGTTCAAATTTTGGCAGAAAGCAATATTTGTAGATTATTTCAAAGTCTGTAGGATCGAAAGGCACCAATCAAGGCTCTCGGTTCAATTTTCAAAGAAGCTTTGTTTTCATGTGACATTGCAACACGTGGCTAAGTGTAAAAGACATCTGTATATCCATGTTTTTAGCCAATCAAATAACTTGATTTTCGATCCGTATGTTAATCGATCCTTACCCTATTCTGTTATAAATATCAAGTGCATAGAGTATTCAGGCATTTCTAAACCATATTGAAATACAGACATGGCCCCCAAAGTTGCAGGTAAGAAAGGCGAGAAGAGAGCCGGAAAGGCAAAGGCTCCATCTGATGGAAAGAAGAAGAGGAGAGGAAAGAGAAAGGAAAGCTACGCTATCTACATCTACAAGGTGTTGAAGCAAGTTCACCCTGACACTGGTATCTCTAGTAAAGCCATGGGCATCATGAACTCGTTCGTCAACGACATCTTCGAGCGCATCGCCACCGAAGCTTCCCGCCTTGCCCACTACAACAAGAAATCAACCATCAGCTCCCGCGAGATCCAAACCGCTATCAGGCTGCTTCTGCCCGGTGAACTGGCCAAACACGCTGTCAGTGAAGGAACGAAGGCTGTGACCAAGTACACCAGCAGCAAGTAAACTTACTTCGTAAGTTTACCGCCAAAACTAACGGTTCCTTTAGGAGCCACCAAATATAATAAAAGTTATGACCAATATTGCCGAACATAAAGCTCAACGCGCGTTTCCTCTTTTTTAGCGATCTCTCTAAAGCAGGCACCGCTCTTGTTTGCGCCAAATTCTCATTGATTTTTGCGACTTGTTGCGGCTACGAAATTCTGTTGCGGAGACAAAGATTTCCACAAAAATTCTCCAGTACACACGAAACGAATGAGGGTACGTAATTGGCAATGTCAACAAAGTGAACTTGTAGACAGCAGCCGTAACACATCTCCTATATTAGTCCGGCCTCCCAGAATTGAACTCGTCTCTTTCGCTCTGCATGCAAACAAAACGGCGCTCTAAGCCATTTTCAGTTTGCCTAACACTTTTGTCTTAACACCCCTTATCGCGAACAAGCTTGAACAGTTTTATGAAAGCACTAGGGCAGACTGGACAACCTTTTTTCTTCCTAAAAGACTTCACCACGAGCGGTCTTCCTTCTTTCCTCAGAACTGCCCGCCGCGGCGCAAAATTAAAATCATGCAAATTAGTGGTGAAAAAGACGATAGATTGAAGCGGAGAGAAGGTTTCCGTCCTCGTTTCTCGCGGCGTCGCTACTTAGATTTCACCTCACCCGTGCCGGCTCTCGAGCTACTGTGACTCAAAAGAAAAATAAGTGACTAAACGCAGTCTGTAAAATAACCCACCTGAGAAGAAATCTGAAGTCCAATGAATTCTTCGTTTAGATAGACAAGAAGACAAGAAGATTTATTTCACTCAGTTCCGTTTTATATTTGACAGAGATTGAAGTGACAATGACAAATAAGTACATTTACTTACACAAGAAATAACCGACCCAGTGTGTTCGAATGTTCGAATATTAAGTGGAACTTTTGCTTACAGATTTGCTTCAAGAAATCCTCGGGACAGTCCAAGTGGTCAGCTTAGTACCCCTGTGCCAGGAATTAGAGCACCCAGCTCCGCGGTAAGCCTTCTTCCTAAACGTTTCTGCAATTGCAGTTATCATTTTGTAGTATCCTCTTGTGCTGTCACTGAAAGAATATTTTATCTGAGATTTTAATTCTTTCTTCGTCGTAGCGCTTCAATTTTTCCGTTATGTCCAATTTTTTATATAGATTGCAAATAGTTGATGACCCCACCGAGGCATGCGACAGCGGTCTTTCTTTTGTGCAATTCAGTTCTAATTTGTTATAGCCTGTGACCCTCTCTAAAAGCCAAATTCGTAGGGACGTTTTCGTTGTAGCTGTTCTTTCAAGTGTTTGTTTGTTTATTTGTTTGTTTTCATCGTGCATGCGTATAAAATCTTGTCATAATCATTTTACACGCAAGGGAGTGCAAGGGATTTGCTTTGTGTTTTTTTTT